AGTAGCCAACAGCCTTGTGCAGAGAGACCTGGGGATGGAGACATCCCAAAAAGGGAAAGTAGGATCCTCTAGGAATTCCCATCAACATGCCAAACACAAAATACCGAAACATCCCCCTCTCAGCAACAGACTAAATATGGTGTATACCCAAAGGATCAGAGCACGGTCCTGGCTGAAATAATTTCTCTTGACAACAGTGGTGTCTAAAAAATATGCTCTGCTGGGGAAAATGGATGAGACTCATATTGGTCTTGGCATCCTAGGAAAATACCTACGTGGGGAGGCTGGGCTGAAAACTCCAGTGTAAGCACCAGTGCCTGCAGGTGTGATGGACCATATGCACCATCAGACCCTGTTTCCAACACTGGACAGTGATGAGCAAATCTGGGCAAACAGGAGAGAGTGGAAGAGTATCAGGGCTCCTTCCCCACCACGTTGCAGAAATTCCAGCTGTATTATAAGAAGCTGGTGAACACTCCATTTGCTCATGCAGTTACATGGTTTCAGCCTTTGCATAAAACCGGAGGGTCTGCCTCAGGAGGTGGGGGCTGCACTGCACTGCACTGCAGTCCAGCAAAGCCGTGTCCAGATGAGACTCATGTGTGTTTGACTGGGTTGGAATGAAGCCAGGAGAAATGATATCCAGATGTCAATCGAAGAAGCTCGCCCTTCTTAGCAGAAAGCTCCTCACTGTGAGTTCACCCTATTCATTTTGCAGTTTCTCTGTTGCAAGCATAGCTTTTACATAGGAACGTAATGAACAGAAAATACTGAAATGCAAGGGCATCCTCTGAAAAGCATGATCTTTTTGGCATTCATCACAGTTATCCTAAGAAGCTCCTTGTAAACCTACCCAGCTGTTTCACAAAACCAGATGCATTTTAATAGTAGCTTAAAAAGGAGTGGAAATTATTCCTGCTGGTTCGCAAACCACTGCATGTGCACATGCAGGCTTGGTGCCCAAGTAGTGTGTTTAAAGAGGCAGCGGTGGAGGGTGATGTATGATGTGACATTAAACCGAGCTGGAAAGTTTAAAAAAATATTCCTGCTGTGCCTGGAACAGTTGCACTTTTGAGCTGTGTGGGGTAGGAAGTGATAAGTGTAAGCCTGGTTTCAACCTTCTTTTACAAGTCAGCATAAGAATACACACACTAATAAATACCCCGGTTGGAGTTTCCCTGTCGCTGTGGTACTTCTTAAACTGAAGGTGCATCAGACTGAATGCAGTGGAGTCCCCGTGGACAGTGCTTTTGTTATAAGAAAACAAGCTTTTTAAAATTTACTTTTCTAGAAATAATAAAGCCCATCCTTTAACTGTCTCCTGAATCTGCACAGTAAATGTTGTGCTTGGAAAAAAAGAGGGCTTCAGAGGGAAATAAATGAGCTTTCAGCTGCCTCACCATGTGTAACCTGAATTGCAGACAGGAGGAATACATCATGGTGATAAGTTAGGTTCTTAACTGATGTCAAGAAAGCAAATTGTTTGTTTAGAAATGATTTCACTTAAAAATTGACTATATTTCTTTGAGCTGGCGTGCAGTGGGAAGCAGAGTGGTGGTTTTGCAGCAGGAGAGGCAGTCTGCATCCAAACCAGAACAGTTAATGACATGAGGAGTCTGACATGGCAAAGGAGTCAGGAACTGCTCAGGGTAAACGTGCTTAGTACTGGACTCAGGTCAAGTGAAGTGTGTGAGGCAGAGATGTCAGTTCTTCATCGGCTGCTACTGAAAGGGCATCTTTTCAAGAGTGAGCAAATATTTTTGGTTTTTTTTCTTCCTAAACATGATCACCAACTGGTAATCAATCCTCCGGAAAACCAATCTACTAATACCAAAATTCAGCTTGATACAGAGCGTGCTCAGGAAGGAAAGTGCAACTGAATCCTTGGGGCTTGTTGATAAAGCTTACAGAAAAAGTTCTGCCATGCACAACAGAAACGAATCCCTCCAAAACAGCACTGTGGAGTATGCACACAGTTTCCTCTAAATTTAGGGGAGAGCAAATATTTGGTATTAAAGAATCTTTCTGGAACTCATGGATCAAGTTCTTCCAAAGTGCTTTCCAGATCTGATATTCACACCAAACCATGCTGGCTCCTTGTCACCTCCACTTTTGATATCACATGCAGACGAAGAACAGCCTCTTTTGATGTAACCCCCATGCATAACAGTGTCACTTACATTGTTCTAACTCTGATAAAATTCAGAAATGCATTCAGCTCACCAAAAACGTGGAACTTCTAAATCCTTGTATCTTTTTTCTCATTTTCTGGTATCAGTAGAAAGAATTAGGGCACTCAGTGCAAGATGTTACAGTCTGTAATTTAGCAAGACAGAACTTCTTAAGTTGTTTGAGAAAATTTTTTTCCTTGCTCACCTAGAAGTAAATTGCATCTAAAATCTGGAGTTGCAACTGTGAATTACTTTCATCTAAATACCGGCCTCGCTTACTTGAAACTTCTAAGGAATGTTTTGTACATTTTGTACAGAATCCATTTTGTACCTCCTCTTCTTAAGCAGAATTTGCACCTCCTCTTCTTAAGCAAGTAAAGGCAGTCCAGCACTCATAGAACTCGCTGCATGTCCACATCTTGAAAGATCAGATTCCAGGTTCTCTCGGGACAAGTGATAGACATTAATAATTAGGCCAGTATATTTTCACAGACATATTTCAAAGCTTCGTTATACAAATGAATGCCATGGACAATACACTTTAATTTGATTTTAATTTGCTTGTACAATGACTGTACTTTCGAATAAGATTATTCCAAACCTCCAAATCTGCAATGTGTTGGTATTAAGGCAATTAGGTGAAATGCATGTTGCACAACAAAGCAGACGCACCAACTCCAGCTCCTGTACCAGCACACCATCTTGACAATGGACAGAAGCTGCAGTTCCTGAAGAAAATGGTTTTCAGTTTTCTGTTTTAAACAAATTTCTACTCAGATTTCAGATATACACCTTTACCTCAAAGCTTACTGAAGCACACCCTTGTAACAACCTCTGCTTTCATGGCTGTGGAGACAAAGAGGACGCTGAGCTGTGTTACTGGGGAAGGTCAAGTACCAAACTTCCCCTTATCTTCTTTCACGAGAACAAAAATTGTATCTAATTTCAGCAGCTAAAATTCCAGGCAGCTCCATGGCACCTGAGCAGCTTCTGTACAATCTATGGTGGGAAGATAGAAAGCAGACACAATGGCTTTGGTTGCCCTGGCAGATTTGCATAGCATAGAAGGTTGTGGCTTCTGTTTTTCAGCAGAGCCTTTTCCTTGCCCTTGAAAAGACAATTTAAATTCCAAATACACTTTGACCCACTGTGTTATGAGAAACAGAAAAACAGGTTATGGACAAACAACCTCTGGAAAACCAAAGTTCAAAATTCAGGAGTTTCTGTGGCTACAGCAATCATATCCATGCTCTGTGAAAGTTCATTTCTGCAAGTCTCCACAGAGGCACTTCCAGCTTATTCCAAAATGAAAGTCATTCATAAATAACTTAAAAGACTATTTTTCTGCTGTAATATTAAACAGAAGAATGAAGAGAGAAAACTGATTTGTACCAGTGTGGCAGGAAAGAGCCCCAGCAGCAAGGCAGCATACCATGTAGGTTTTATACAGATGGCTCTCCATCTAAGTGGTTGAATGTGTTAGTGGTGGTGGTGGTAACATAGCAAACATTGAGGGCATACACGAATTTGCTTGTTTCACCCAAGTGTCAGTTATAATTCATGCAAAGCTACCAAAGATTGAAAGATTTGATTAAGATAAATTTGCACACGTCTTCTCCTCTTGGAAACAGTCCTGAGAGACGTACTTATAAATAAGAAAATGTGGAGCCATCAGCATTGCCAGTCACACACAGGGGAGCAGCTCACTCCCGAGCCTTGAAACGGATGAAAGTAGCTCCTCCTTTAAAGCTATAGCTGTTCTCTGCAGTTTCACATTAAAGTAGAGCCTAGGCTACTTATCAAAATGAAAAAATACCTACAATGCTAATTGGGTGAAATAAAGACTAAGGGAAAACATCATAAAGACTGCACAACTCCGGGTCCTTTCAGTAACATTTGCAAACTTACATTAACTTCCTTCTCTTTTTCCCCCAAACGTTTGCTGTACCATTTATTTAACAATTACACAAAACTACTCTCAGTACCACTGGAAACACTAACATGCATGAATTTGTTAAAAAATAGATTACGTGGTATTTTTATGTACCACTACAAGGTCTACTTCTATCAGAAAATATCTCAGCTAAAAAAAACTCCTGGGAATCAGTAATTAACCATCAACTTCATTTTTAACTCTTCCTGCCTTTACTTTCATGTCATTTGGGAAAAAAACAAAAGTTCCTCCCCCGTCCCATTATTTAGTGTTACACTGTACAATTTATAGCAACTCCAGATGGAAAAGAGTTACCCTTGTTTGTTTGCTGGCATAAAGATAAATATAGTCCTTGTTTCCAGAGAACTTCAAACAACTATTCCTCCAAAGGACTGCAATTTTCTTTTCAAACTTATTTTCCCATACTTATCTAAGAGTAGCAGGTGCTTCTTCTTACAGAAAAATCATTCCAAAATTATTTCAAATACCAACACAATAAAACTGACCAAAAATATTCAGAAACCAGAAAAGGTACATGAAGACATAAAAATAAAAGGGCAGAAATTATAAATATCTAGTAAATTTTTATTTTAAAATATAAGGGAAATATTTTTTAGGCCTAATTCTAGACACAGGCTTGACTAATCTGATTTTATATACAGTTTTCCTTGTATCTTCTGGAGGAAGAATGCCTTTTTGCTAATATTTTTTCACTGGCAGGAATAATGACTTGGTCTTCCTGTCTCATGGGGAGCTCTCACAAATGGAAATGGTCCCACTGGACACAATGGAAAAATTTACATAATGAAGAATTTCATAAATTAACTCTCCAAGAGCTTTGCAGGGTAAGTGAACGTATAAAAGACATCATCACATCATCTCTTCGTGCTCTGCAGAACAAGAGGCTCTTCAATGCTCGTGCCAGCCATCCTTCCTGGTTCTGGAATTCTATCTGAAAATGAAAAATAAGCATAAATGTTTTCACACGTTTGGAGAGCCAGAGATGCAACTGTTAATAAGAACTTTGATGTGGAATATCATCATAGCAAGCTCAATTTTACAACTGAGTTTTTTCATCCAACTGCAAGACCAAAGACTGGATCTCAGATTGCTTCAACCCAGCTCTAATGAAGTCAGCTGACAGGAACGTCTGACCGCAACTTGTATCGACATCCCCTGTGTACCAGTTCATTTGAATATTCATTCAACAACATAAGCAAGAAGGACAATTTCTAATAGGAAAAGCAAGACAGATGTTAAATATGAGACTGTGAAGGCTGAGTATATGAATGCACTTGATTACCTTGATTTCTGATAGGAATAAGAATCTTCTAACAAGAAAGATTAGTTATAGCAGCTTTGGCACTGACATTCTATGTCTTCAGCCCCCTCTACTGGCAGAAGAGGAACTACATCATCTTCATCAATTCAGTATTAAGGAAAGGTGTTTATTCAGTTCTTCCCTTATGCTTTTTAGATACTGCAGTAATATCTTAGACTTCAAAATTTTTCAAATTTCTGGATACAAAAGGAATAGGTGGTAGTACTATGCTGATAATATTAAATAGCCCAAAATCCCACAGAGCAGAAGGTGAAGCAATATGCCAAACAGACTCCTTAAAAGGGAAAATAAAAGACCAACAGTCCCTTTCATTTTGTAGCTTAGGCAGTATTAACAGCAACCACGCAGAGAGCACGAAGGGAAATAAGATTCAGCAGTGCCCTATGGATCAGTGAAGTTGGAGCTTAAGTTTCTGCAGTTGGTGGGACGTGAATTAGATCCTCAGAAAGATTTATTCCTGTACACAGAACTGGCTGCTCAAACATTATGAATGTTCTATGGAAATTATGAGGACAGATGAGAATATTCCCCTATTTAATTTATCTTACTAAGAATTTGTGTCAAAATTTCTGTTTTAAATCGCCAGTGGACCAAGACTGCCTCTAGCTGACCCATTCCAGATCTGTAGTTGTGTAAGGAAGTACAGTTTGGCCAGTTTAATGAAAATGGGAAAACAATTTGTTAGGTCAAATTTAAATGAGTTTTCAGTTTTTCACGGTCCAAAAGAATTAAAAGAATAAAGCTAAACAATTTGGATTTCTCTGCTTCCCTTCACTATAACAGACAGCTGCAGCTACCACACATTAACAAGAGCTTCGCAGTACCTGTTATGCTGCAAAAAATTATACACATTTTGCTATCCCTTATTTTTAAGAATGCCTGCTTTCTAAATAAAACAGCCATTCCAATAAAATAGCCATCTATCTTTCCATTTGTGAAGGCAATCAGATTTGCACACATTACATAGCATTAACATACCAACAGAAGAGAAGAAGACTTGAGAAGCTGTCTAAGTTGGGCACTTATTTAAATAAAGGAACATAAAGAGGTCATTTTAGAAATCAGAAGTTAGATCTAGTAGAGCTATTCTTAAATGAATATATGAGCAAGAGGGATGGACAGGTCAGATGGCTTAATGGTATTCTGGCATACAAACGATGTCCTACTGAAGAATTTTTTCTATAAAAAAGGTTTCTGTACAAAACATTCCTTGTACAGAGAAGGAAGTACCCTGTGTCCACTCGTGTTCATGCAGCTATCAGCAAATCTAGCTCACAGAAAACCCCGTCGCAAATAAAAGTTCTGTGAAGATGACCCTATAGTCAGACCCACCTGTTTGATTCCTCTCAGTAGATGGTTTGGCAAAGTTCTGCCTTGGATAACTCAGCAAAGACACCTTTGGAAGAGTACTCTGGGTACTTTCTTCTTCACCGTGGTGTAAGAAATGCGATATAATTCCATATAAGAGAGGTCTGCTCAAGGCAAAAATCACAAAAGCCATCTATGAAACATATTAACTACTAAGCACTTAAAAAAAAACAATCAAACAGCTTCTCCTCAGAAGTTCTTACACCTTAACGTTCACTTCTAAGAATGTTCACATGTCTTCAGAGTAATTATTTAAAATTCATTATGGTAAATGCAATTATATAAGAACAGGCATACGCCATCCCTGAAGACAACCCCTCTCCCATAGCTTGCACTAAAGGATGTTCTCAACTGAACTCTAGATCACTTGTAAGCAAAGAATCAGAGTACAAAGCATGAGTACAGAGCCGTGTTGCCATACAAATTAAACGTGTGACCAGTGGGCTACTGGCTTTAGCACCACCATGTATCTCAAACTAGATTTTCACTAAGCATGAGTCAGATTCTGTGGGCCCAAGCTACAGGGCACCACTACACATGTTTAAATATGCTTCTGTACCCTTGATATCAAACCTAGTTGCATCAGAACTGTGAATTTATATCTTATCTCACAGTGCAATAATCTTTTTACTGCTTTGCATATCAGCTCGGTAATGTGTAAAGAATATGTTTTCTTCTTCTGACTAAAAAGAAGACTGAAGTGGTAAGAGACTCAGGCATGCGATTAAACAGCTTGTGAACATATTCTGTAGGATTCACAGAATTTAATGCTAGCTGAGAGTATGATTGAAAATGGCTCCATGTTTGACACTGTGCACTTGAATCCCACATGTTTAGAGCAGTTGTGTGATCTAGTGGTATTGGGCTGGTGACAGAACATTTATATGTGATTTATACAAACACTGTGAAGACATACTTGCAGAGTATATTGTGCGTTCCAAAATCAATGCTTACACTGATTTTCCATTTGCATCTTCAATGATGTTCAGCTCCTTGACAAGAAACTGTCTATCCAAGGGCACTTCAGGCTGGCCAGCTTCTGGAAAATAGATCATACACTCATACAGCAAACGTAATTACCACATCTAAGGACAATTACAGAACTTTAAATTTTAAATACAGATTAGAGCTACCAGTTAAATGCTTTAGCTCTCAAATGTCAGCATTTTAGCACATCCAATGATGATTAATTGCAGTTGTTAAAAAATGCGGGCATTCTTCATGTCCTTGTTTGTATCTGAGCTGAGGACTGATAATCACACCTCTGACAGCTTACGTGCCTGAACTGCTGCAAATCAGACTATCAACTACTTTAATACATTAGTTTAAATTATTCCTCAAATTTGTTGATTTGTGTGATTTTCATTTTTAAAAATTTTGCTCAAAAGCCAATCAGAAATCGCAACATACGTTTTATATGCCCATTATTATTATTTTTATGTACATTTTTCAAAACAAAAGCACGTGTCTGGCAAGGTGTTTTGGTTGAGTAGGCTGCCAGCAAACTTATTTGCTCTTGCATTAACTGATCTGTCAATGTAAATGCTGTTTACTTCAAGGATAAGCAACAAAGAACACATTTTCTTAAAAACTAATGGTATAATTCAGCATAACACTGCAACTAATGAGGAGGGTGTTTGTATCCTATTTGTTTCCAGGGTCAGCCAAGATTGCACAGATTGCACACTTTGTTCCCACTGTTTCAGGAGTTACTCAACCAGGCAGTGAATACCAATTACAGCAGCAGTGCCACCACAAACTCGGCTCCAGTACCTGCAGTGAGCACAGACGCCGCGTATTTGTACTTGTTGAATTCCAGGTATTCCCGGATCAGCTCATTGATCAGGAGGTTCTCGTGAGACAGCGGCGGCCGCGGTTCGCTCTGGTCATCCAACGCGTTGAACACCTCAGCTCTGATCCTCGCTTTTATTTGCCCCAAGGCTCCTCTTTTTTCCAGTGTGTCCTTTAAAACTGTTACCATAAAAACACAGTTAATATAAACCCCAAACGTGCTCGAGCAGCATTCATCGCCCGCAATACAAGCACAATTCCCGGACACTCATGGTGAAATGAAGATATCCACACCCGTGGATGATCACAGGGTGACACAGCAGCACTCTTAGGTATGACAGGTACCGCCTACAGATGGAGGCGTTAAGGAAACGTGGGGGAATGTTTCCAAATGAACAACGGAGCGCGTGAGGCTCAGGGCACTCCCTTACTCCCAACGCCCTGCGTGAGGCGAGCAGCCAGCAGCCCCGTTAGCGCTCGGGGCGATCGGAGGCCGCCCACAGCCCAAGGAGCGTCCGCAGCCCCTCAGCGCTCCCGCCCGCTCGGCGTCCCGCGGCCGCCACCTGCTTTCAGCTCCGCTATGGTCGCCATCGCCCTACGGCCGCGGCGCTGACCCGGATGCGACAAACGGCCGCTGCCTGTCGTACACTGCGCAGGCGCAGAGGGCAACGACGGGCGCCCGCTGTCCCCGCCTCTCAGCGCCCACCGACCAATCGCGCTGCGCGGCGGGCAGTGAGTGACGTGAGAGGGGAGACGGAGTGCTGGGGCGCGCTGTCTGAGGAGCTGCCGCCGAGGCAGCTGAGGGCGCGGGAGGGCTGAGGGCGGGGCGCTGCTGCACGGGGAGCGGCTTCCAGCGCCGGGCGGCGCCCTGTGCTGCCGGGATGTCCGCCGGCAAGGGCAAACCGGGATAAACAGTACGCGGTGCACACGTGTACGCGGAATTACTCTCAGGTATTTTGTGCGTGCGAGCGGAGGCTGAGGAAGGACGTTCTGGCATTGCTGTAGTGTTTTCCGCTCTAATTTAAAAGGTGTTAGTCTAAAAAAAGAGTGAAGAGAGTCCCTCCCTGGAGAGTTTTGCTCGAGGTCTCTCAAAGATGAACTTTCCATGCACCAAAAACCAGATTCTGGTTAGAAGGACTTGGCTGCAGCCATGCAGTCGGGTTTGTGAGGCTCTGGTGCGGGTTTGGTGCCGGCCTCGCCTTGCTCTGATGAGCTGACAGGGTTTGCTTTTGGATGATGAAGTGTTTTCCAGAGGAAGTGCAGTCAGTACAGATGAACAAGTGGATGTGTCATGGTCTGGAAGGAGCACAGCAGCCCGCTGGCCTGGAGTAACGTGGGCGTCCTCTCAAGCATGGAGCCACTTAGTAACCTAGCAAAGTGTTGCTTTTTTTTTTTTCCCCAAACATTCCTCTCAAAGCAAACATTTATATTCAGAGTTTTCAAGGAATAGCTAAAAGGGAGCAATGCAAAGAGGAGAAAAAAGAATTCTCCAGAAGTGTGGCTGCAGTGTGACTCAGCAGCACAGCGCTGCCTGCTCCCTGCCTTCCCCTCAGTGCAATCGCTGACCTTCTGCATGTGCCATCCATCCCCACAGGCAAACGTTTCTCTCCACATCCTCCCAAATTTCTCCATGACCTCATGGGTCATGGCTTTCTTGCACGTAATTTCCAATTGATAAGCAGATGTTGTTTTCCATCCCATATTTCCTGCCCAGGCTTAATTTCAAAGCAAAGTTCAGGATCTGGAACAGAATTTCAGGTGCGTTATTTTTGAGATTACAAGGAAAACAGCTTTAAAACAAGACTTTAATGTTTATGTAAGTATTAATCTCTGTTTCAGAAGATGCAGTTATAACAATGGTTTGTGAAACCCATGTTCAGAGGCTTTATGGCAGTGTGGGATCTTACCCCTGTAGTACTTCAATGGTTTGTCTTTGTGTCAGCTCAATTTTTTTCTTCACAACAAATATTTTGAGTCTTACATTTTTCTGAACTCTTCTGCTCCAATTTCTTCTCAGGAGCACTGTTTGGGCACTGGCACTGCTGTCCTGGGAAGTGGTGCTGTCATCGTCCCTGGAGGTGTTCAAGAGTTGTGGGCGATGTGGCACTGAGAGACATGGTCAGGGATGAGCTGGCATTTGGACTAGATGTTTGTAGAGGTCTTTTCCAACCTTAATGATTCTTTGATCCTATTATTCTTTGCATTAAATTATTTCCTCTGCATTTTGGCGGCACTTCAGTTAAAATCTTGGCTGTTGATTTTGTTGGAATTTCTAATAGAGATGGAACTAATTGGAAGAGAATTCATTTGAGGTGCAAATCTAGGTATTTTTAGATATAAGAACCATCATTTACCTGGTGCATGAACCATACAGGGTCTTCCCATGGCTGAAAAACATTTTGGAGTCCTTGGAAAGCTGAAATCCTGAAAGTGTAACTTAAATATTATTGCTCTGTCAGCATGCAGTAGTATCTAGAGAAAAACAAGTGGGTAGAAATGTGTTCTTCTTGGCCCTCCTTTCATTTCATGCTTACTTTTCTACATATGTTCTCCATATCCTAAATATTTTTCTGCTGTATCATTTCAAGTACAGGCTTGTATTCTGTTAACTCACACACAGTATGCGTAGAAGAGTAAGCTCTTAGAGGCTGTGTTATCTATTCAGCAGTTTTTTCCCTGGCTTCTCTTATCAACAGTGCTATAAAAAATTATTCCACCTTGCCTACTGGAACCGGTAACTTTTAGTGATAGTGAGAGCTATCAACTTTATATGCACTGCAGATTAAACTGGAGGAAAAGGCAGTGCTTAGAGCCACGGGGCAGCAGGATAACACCACTGGAGCTACGACAACTTTTTCAACAGGTGCTGTAGTGAGCATGAAAGTAACAAAAGCCAACCCACCCGTGTCTCTAGCAGGATTTTAAGATGAATTTAGAAAGTGTACAAAACGGGGCAGAAACTCAATAAAAATAAATCTGAGGAATCAACAGGAGGGCAGCACCGTGAAGATTTTAACAAGGTATCGCTTAGGCTGACGCACTGAGTGTAACTCCTGAAACCCAAATAGTTTTGGCTTTCCTATGATAATTCCGTTCTGTTCATCAAGGAATGCAGGAAAGCAGTGCAGACTGAGCTCTGCTGCTTGGCTGCTGCACCGGGCTTCCCGGGAACGCT